AATTCCCTGCCGTGGCTGATGGTATTCGCTGACTGGCCCCAGGCTCATGAACAGCATGATGCAGCTGAATTTCTCACTCACTTCCTCTCCAGGGCTGCTCCGAATGTTTTTGCAGGTCTGTGGCAGTCCCGAGCAGAATATGAGCATGGTATTCATGTTCAGGAACGTGGTACATTGATGATTCCTCTGGTCCTGGACAGGTTGGGCACAGATCTTCAGTCCTGTATTGATATGTGGGAAGGTCAGTATGATGTAAGACCAAACGTTTGGCAACCGTTTGTCCGTGCTCTTTCTACATTTGGTAGTGATCATGGCCTGGTTTTGCAGCTTCAGCGGTTTGTGCCCACTGCATCCGGAGCAAGCAAGATCTTTGATAGGGTTGTCATCCGTCCAGGCCAAACAGTAGCTGCACCGGTGTTTGAGAATGCTGGCTCCACATCTACATACATGGTCAGTTGTCGGCTTGCTTTTGTGATATATCACATTGGTTCTACCATGCTTGCTGGTCACTACAAAACTGCCCTATGTGTTCCTGGTACTTCCCTGGGATTTCGAGATGGCTGGAAATTTGTTATATGCAACGATGCCCAAAAGCCTTATTTGGCCTCTGCACAAGACTATGCTGAGATTGAGAGTGGTTGCTATCTACTTGGGCTGTATCGCTCCTCGACCTCAGCTGCAGGATGACTTTTCTGACCTCATCGGCCACTGCGGCTGGACTTCGTCTTTCTGAGCGAGCGTGAGACACTGTCGTTTTAAGGCGAGTGACCCTTTAGTGCAAAGTCCTGATACGGCTCACTTTTGTTTCATTGTTCATTTAACCAATGCTTCGGTTTTCGGTCCTCGCGAGATGTATTGTTCCTTTGACACTCTCTTGTGAACTTGAACTGTTTCATGCCACACTGTGATTCTTCCCCCACTCAACTGCCTCATACTCTACTTGGTATCCTTGATGTATTGTTCCGGCTTATAGCTGTCACTGGGAGAATTACACTGGCCAAGATGGCCATACGTCTTCTGCCAAGGATTCGTCAGGTTCATGAAGCCATATGGGACGTGATACTTCTTTATGTTCCTATGTGCTGTGTGATTGTCATGAGGCTCACCTGACAAGCCTGCGCCTCTGCATGCATCGGACCTCTTACTATTGAAGTCCATGTGTGTGGAAGGAAGTCTGATTTCCTCTCTAGGCTGTGGGTTTGTATTGATTGGGCAGCTGCAGGGCGCTATGTCATTGGGTATTGCAGACTGAACTTCATTGAGTTGTTTGTCTCTTTATCCAATTGCTGCCCCAGCCTATGACGGTCACCGGAGGATTTTTACTCCTGGGCCATGGGGGTCTCACGCACGATCTGCCGGCTGATTTGTAATGTGCATGGCACTGCATGTGGTGATTGTTGCAATCTGTTTCTTGTTCTGGTAATACACTGCTGTCAGCTGAATGCCGTACGAATCAATCTGCTCAGTAAGCATGAGCCTTACTGACCCCTTCTTCAAGTCCAACAACCTGTCTCGAGGCTGAGAAGATGTTGTATGCTTGCGGGTCTCCAATATGAGGATATCATTGTATGTTGTATGCTCCTGTTTCTGCATTTCTTCTCGGCCATATGACAGCATCATAAAGCTAGGAGGGCTCTTCTTGCTGCACGATTTGTAAGTGGTCTGGGACCTACGCGGTTGGCACCCATGCCACGCTCGCAGCACTCAATCCAATTTGACACTACGACCTCCCACACGGCCTTGATGGCCTTCAGCATACTGCTGCGTGATTTGTAATGTGCTGCATGCTGATTGATTTCATATTACTGGTCTCCGTTACCTTTATTATATCAGATACTTGTGTTTTATTGAAGTGATTCTTCCTCACTCAATCAGCGTGTCAGCGACCCCTGGCAGCGTTTATGCTCTCGCTCATTGTCGCTGATGAGTGGTCTGCGCTTCATCGGTATGCTGATTACTGCATTTCTAGGCGTACTTTAACTCTGGTAGCGACAAGCGAGAGTTCGGACCGGAGCCAGAATACACTGGCCCTTACGATTTCTTTCATGCTGTACCTGCTCTGAGGCAACCATGAAGGTCTCATTGTACTAGAGGTTCGATACTGCTGGCAATCGTCTATTGGGCACTGCTGTGCTGCAGTGACATGTGACTTCAGTTGCGGGGTGCACTGACTATACTGCTTCTCAGGAATATGCTATGGCTCTGACGGTGGCATGCCCATGCAATCGTTCTGCTTATGTTTTCATTATCTATTGATTGTTCTTTCTGGTTCGACAACGGCATGCCACTTTGCTGAACCTGGCCTCATATTCCACTCCTTGCTCTTCGGGCTATCTTGAAGGCACTGTATGATTTCTACCGTTCTACTGATGATTTATCATCATGTTCCGAAGCAACCGCCTGAACCTACTGCTGTTTTCATATGTTGTGCCTTCAACTGGCTTGTGTTTATCCCTTCTCGGGTCTTCGGGCCGGGGGATACCGCTGTTGGAGTGCGTGCTTGGTTCTGCGGAACGGCGCACGGCTCCGCTCTCTTTCTTTCTTACTGCTACGGATCACAAAGTGAGCGTTCTTACAGAACGCCGTGCAATACGCATGTCCTGCGACTCGCTACGTTCGGACACCGAGCAGCGCTGCAAAGTCAAAAAAAGTTGTATGTTTGAGAAGATGATGGCTTAATCATAGTAGTCTGCATCACGAAACATGTGACGTTCCCTCAGCTCTGATCAGGACACAGGGGCAGTGATATGGGCATCTCGAAAAAGACCAAGCAAATTGCTGTTGCATCGAGCATGCTGCATTTGCATGGAATCAAGAAGTTGAATAGCTTTATCATCGTCAGCTATCATAGACACCCAGCTGTCACCACTCCCGGGACGTTGTCTCAGGCCACCCAAAACGGCTCGATAATGACCTGTGCGAGGGGTAGGTCCCGTATGCAGTGCCACCGTGATCAACCTGTATGGCTGCCACCTGAGCTCCACTCCCTGGGGTTGCGCAAAACAAGGCAGGTCAACAGTAGCTCCAACCTCAAAAAGAAAATCATTGGTCAGCTTGCGGATTGTAGCATCACTCCGAGCCCAGCGCTCTAGTTGAAAGAATAGAACATCCGGTGCCTGCTGAAGTGCATGCAAAACATCAGTACGGGATCCGCTTTGCCTGAATACTGGCCTGCATCATGCTGATGAATTTGAATGCGGATGGGCTGCCGTGTGTGACTTAGGTCCGAAACAAAAGCACGATTCCCGAATTTGTATCTGGATTGCCATTGGCCCTCATATGCTGCGGGCTCAGCTGCTCCAGGACATGGTACAGGAATTCAGAGGCGTCCTGTTGGTGGTCAAAATGAGCCTGCCACTGTTGTAGAAGATGTAGCCAGAAAGGAATGCGAATGAGGTTGACTTTGCCAGCCTGTCGCAACTGTTGGCAGGGTCCACATAGTCTGCCACAGGCACTCTCCTGAGAAATGCGGTGCTCCAATACCATACCCATCCACAAAAACATCTGCAGCACTGGGAACGTCACATGTTTCGTGATGCAGACTGCCTCATCATATTTTCAATTGTTGCTTGTTGCAGATTGTTAATGTCGTTTTGCTTGCTACCTCGCTTGGTCATTCATGACGAAGGTGCCGTCCGCGGCGGGGCACTTCCCTCTATGTAGAAAGTGCAATGGCGCAGCTTTTAAGCCAGGCAAAATGTCTGTTCTCAAAGACGGCCGCAAAGCGTCCCTGCAAGACTGGATGCTGCGTCGTGAATGAATGAAATTAAAGATCGTATGGTTAACTTAGTTTTGTCCAGTTTGCGTTGCAAAAATCCAAATGTAGCGCTTTGTTGTGTTGTTCATACTGTATGTCATGTGTGCGTGCCTCTATCTTTTGCAAAGGTCAGAAAAAAGACCTTAGAGGCACAGAAAAAGACCTACCGGGGTCCGAAAAAAGACGCGGAGTCAGTTACGCGATGTTTCGGGGCCGAGAAAAAGACGGCCTAAATCGTTGAGTGGAGGTCGAAAAAAGATCGTAGTCTTTTTCGAGACCACGCCGCGGGGCTGAAACAAAAGATGGAGGTCGGAAAAAAAACATGCCGGGGTCGAAATCAAGATGGATCAAGCGCGCGGTCTGAAAAACAACATTTCAGGGTCGAAAAAAGAGCAGCCCTTTAAGTCCACCCCTCAAGCCCCCTTTAAGCCGCCCTCAAGGGAGCCCTTTCAAGGGTCTTCGAAGGGAGCTTCAAGGGAGGCTTCAAGGGGGAGCTCAAAGGTACCTCCCTGAATGAAAAATTCCAATAGAGTTTCGAGACTCACCAGGAGTGTGCAATTATCAAGCAACAACAATCAAACAGAGAATCTCAATCTGCTCCAGAATGCAATCACTCGGTCTCAGACTTTTGTCTGGATGCAATGAGCCAGTCTTGAGCCAATGCCAATTCGTAGGCATTGTGTCCGTGGGTCCAATATGAGCTGGAGAATGACCATGCAATCTAACACGGTCCCTTGATTGCGACGGGGCACGTCGACAATCACACCTGTACAATCTCCGCTCATTTATTGGTTCTGCAATCGTACTGGAATAGCAAAGAAACAAGAATTGGAATCAATGAAGTGTGAATCGAAACAATCAAGCAGTCAATCTACCGGTTGAAACGCAATCACGAACTAAACTGGCAATCTCACTCTTTTGCAATCAGAACTGAGCAATGTCATGCAGTCGCCCAATCTCCAACTGTGTGCAATCATCATCCAGGAAACAATGTCTCCGTCGGTACATCGCAATCATAGAAGCAGATGGAATCAGCAATCAATCGGCAGTATCTGCAGCGATTGTCCAGTGCTCAATCCGAGCAACTTGTTGCCAAAAGCCGGTGCAATCTGAGCAGAAAAGAATCAAAACCAAAATCAATGCTGTCGAAAGGCAGCAATACGCGCTCATCAATGTCGCAAGCACAATCCACTTTTGCTGTGGGTCCTCAATCCACACGTGCTGTGGATCAATAGGCCAATCGCTACTGGCCCTTGCGTTTCTTCTGCGCAATGGCCGCCGCAGTGGCAACCATTACGCTATACTCCTGACTCGTCAATGACGACGACGAAGATCCGAAGTCGGTCAATCCGGGTCCCAATCCTGCACTTGCTGCAATGTCGTCAGCCGGAATCTCATCGCAGTTTTCCGACAATAGCATGAGTTCAGGGACACCCTCAATCTGCATGCTCGAGACAGGGAATGTGCAATGACGGTGCACAGCTTCCGTCGGGTACCAATGCTCGTAGCTCGAATTGTGCATCAGGGAAGCCAATCCTTCCACATTCAATGTTGCCAACTCGAGGACAATGCAATGCTGACGAACAATCCCACCCAGACAATAGGCGTAATCTTCACCAATCTGGTTCTGAGTGCTGTCAATAGTCAAGCACCAAGAACAACTGAGGAATGAGCAATTGTGGTACTTTTGGAAACCACCAATCCCTTCCGGATTTTTCAATCTTGTGTCCATCATCAATCTCGTGGGCCGGAAGATCAATACTTTCACCAATTCCGCGCACTGACTGCGCGAGAATCGGTTTTGGCGGTACCAATGGCACAATTTGCGTAGACTCGCATCCACACTGATTTGTGGATTCAATTGCCCCAATGGCGTGGGGATGTTGGTGACTTGTCCGCTCACCAATGACTCAATGATCGAAGCCGGCAATGCTAAGCAAGCAAACCGTTCGACCAATCCATCAACTGGTCTGTGATCACGGCATCTGAACAATGTCACTGCAATTGCCCGGGTGAAAATCGACTTCAATGCACGATAGCATTCAGTCGTTTTGTCCAATAGCAGGAATGCCAGATTCAATGAGAAGACGGGAATTCCGTCCGCAATGTCTGTTGCTCTCATGTGGGCAATGCATCTGTTGCACATGTGAATCAAGTTCAGGAATGCGCAATTCTCATAACCACAATGCACCGAGTAGCCATCTGGCGTCATTGTGCGTGACCATTTGTTGGCAATGGTCCAGCCCAATTGAAGCTCAATGCCTGTAATCTTCCCTGTAAATCGAGACATCTGTTGGCAATAGGCAGACAATGCATCATGGATCATTTCAGCAATCTCAAGAATCACTGCAATCCAAGTGAATGATTCCTTCATTCAATGTCACCGTGACATAGTGATCAATGGTCTGCGTGACCTCAATCAGGGCATTCTTCCATTGGTGCAATTCCAGAGTTGCAGCAATTGATGCCAAATGCACGTAGAAAATCGCGAATGCCTCACGCAATCGGGTCAATACCATCCATTCTGGCCAACGCAATTGGTGGTTGGGTTCGTGAATGTGGTCACTTACCTGACTCACAATGTTGGGAAACTGATCCAATGGTGAGCTCTGTGGCAATGTCACGGGAGGAGCTCCCATGATGAATTCCGGTGCCGGAGCCGGAGTGGAAGCCATGGCAATCAGAGTCAATCTGAGGCAATCGTGAGAGCGAATCTGATTTCCCAATCTAAGAGCAATCGCAAGCGGGAGCAATAAGTAAATCAACAATTCACAAATGCACACACTCCAGGTTCAAAATCATTTCAAAACGCTTTCAAATCTTGTTCAAGTCATGCTATGTACAATGTTGCTAATACAGCGACGTTTGACCGAATCAGTTTGTGTAGAGCTCGAAACAATGAATGTTCGGCTCTTCACGCCAATGCTATGTACACTTCCCAACTAAATGCCAGAACTCTTCATCCAATAAGAGTCAAGAAGTTCTTGTTTCTTGCAATTCAAACACAGGGTTGGTCAAAGACCTCCCAAGGAAAATCTTCCTGGTCAATGTGTCTCAACAGGAATGATAAAGTCGTGCCAATGCACATGCTGAGCTCAAAAGGAATTCTCTCAATTCTCACCTCTTCTTTCTTTTGATACAATACGCCATTCAATAGGCACTCTGAGGCGCAAGCATGCGTAATGAGACATGCAATAGACTCCATTCACCTGCAAGCCAGGCGGTTCCTTAGACAAGGCGAGTCAATTCTTCAGTGAAACCGATGAAACAATGTTGGTTTGGTTTTGGGGTTTTCTTAATACAATGGAGATCGAGCACAATCGAGATCAACTCACATAAAACAGTGAGGTTCTCAAGACAGTGACGACCAAGACAATAGGCGTGAAAACAATGATGAAGTAAAGGCAATGACTCTTCGCAAAGGGCAAATGATGGACAAATGAAAGACAAGTCCTCGATGTCCGCAGACGAACTCGTACAAATCTTCACAAATCTGGGGACGAATGAAGGACGAACTCAAGCAAGCAATAGACTGAACCAAATGACATATAATGGACAGCAGCCATGGTTCAATGCTGGGCCTGACAAGATCAGAACATGTCCTTGCAAAATGTCCACAATCAATCAATGTGTCCTCGGCTGAGAATCCAATCCTCAGAAATATGCCGGAAGATATCGCCATATGTTCCTCAGTCAATCTCAGAGGTTCTTCAGTGACGAATACGCGTCCATCATGCGCGCGTGAATGGGTTTTATTTCCCGCCGAAAGTGTAGACAAAGTTTGTCGAAAAGGAAAACAGTGTTTTCTCTGTGTGTTGAGAACACTAGACAACACTTTGCCGTGCAGCTTTCGGCTTGAAGATAGGATCTGTGATCCTAAAAATTTTTCTAGTAGAGTAGCGGCGGGCTAGTAGCCCCTGATCTAAAGTGATTTTCTGGTAGAGTAGCGGTGGGCTAATTGCCCTTTTGATCCAAAGTGATCTCCTGGTAGAGTAGTGGTGGGCTAGTAGCCCCTCTGTCGGGCCGGTAGTTTCTGTAGTGCCATGGACGGTGCCGTAGCAGCGCTACTGGCAGGCAGGCAGCAGTGCTGCCCATGCCTCTCATCGAAGCTTCATGGCAGTGTCCCGAAGCTTGAGACCTTTATGCAGTTTACTCACTGTTTAGTAAGCAGTGCTGGCAATCTTGCTGCCGGTCGGGATCTTAGTGCAGTGTCCCGCTGTTCCTCTCGCGGGGCTCCACCAGTTTTGACAGCAGGGCTTCGGGCAGGTAGGCAGCAGTGCTGCCGTCGCTTCGCATATCTTTGCATCCTAAACCTCAGGGTAGCACCCTGAGGCCTGCTACTTTCATGCCTGCTTTGTGCTGTTTAGCACACAGTAATGGCGTTCAGCAGTGCTGCAGGCATGTTGGCAGGCAGCAGTGCTGCCCATGCCTGTCGTCCCACACTTCAGGGCAGTGCCATGGTTGGTCTAGGCCGTGCCCTTAATGTAGAGTCTGCATTACGTTGGCACCTTGGCCAAAGCTGGACGGGTTAGTAGCCCCCCCTTAGCTTCGTCAGTGACGCTGGTTCTGCAGTGCAGCTTCTGCAGGCGGCCGTGCTGCGAGTAACCCGGCAGCAGTGCTGCCGAGGCCTAGTATCATAAACCTCCGGTCAGTGCCCCGAGGCTACAGGTTCTTGTTTTGGTGCTGCAGGCAGAAGGCAGCAGTGCCGCCTACGCCTAGCATCCTAAACCCTAGGGCAGTGCCCCGCAGTTGAAGTCCCTGCAGGCTTCTGTAAACAGTGTCCTTGCAGCGGTGCTATTGGTGGTTCTGCAGTTCAGCTTCTGCATGCAGCAGTGCTGCAAGTAACCAGGCGGCAGTGCCGCCGATGCATAGCATTATAAACCTCAGGTCAGTGCCCCGAGGTTCCAGGTTCATGTTTTTGGTGTTGCAGGCCGGCAAGAGCGGCACTGCCTACGCCTCGCATCCCAACGCCCAGGGCAGCGCCCCGAGGTCTGAAGCCCCCTTCCCGGCATCTGCTGCTTTGTAATGGTGTCCCTGCAGCCGCGCTGTTGGTGGTTCTGCAGTGCAGCGTATGCATGCAGCAGTGCTGCGAGGAGGCAGGAGCAGTGATGCCGCTGCCTTGCGTCCTTAGCCTCAGGTCAGTGCCCCGAGGCTTCAGGTTCATCCGTTTAGTACTGCATGCACGCAGGCAGCAGCACTGCGTACGCCTCGCGTCCTAAACCCCAGGGCAGTGCCCCCGAGGTTTCCGCCTTGCAGGCATCTGCTGGTTAGACAAATGTGTCAACAGTATTGTGGCTGCCCATTGCCACTTCTGCGGCAGCGCCGTTGGAGGTCTTGAGTACAGGTTCTGCACGAGAAAGTGCTGCGAGCAGGCAGGCAGCAGTGCGGCCGATGCCTGGCATCCTAAGCCTCACGTCTGCACCCCGAGGCTCCAGGTTCTCATGCATTCTTCTCCTGTTGGGTGCACCTGCTGGCTTGTGCCTGTGGCAGTGCTGCAAGCACGCACAAGCAGCGCCGCGTGTGCTTGGCCCCCCCAGTGGGTAGGAAGATGACACGCTAAGTTACGGTGGAGGCTTAACCACGTCCTGGCCTGAGAAGGGCGCGTCAGAGAGAAAATGGAGGCCAGTGGCTACGCCTACCACAAGGATGGTAAAGACAAAGGCACGGGTAGTTTTGTTCGCACCCTCAGCGAAGGGAGTAAACACAGGAAAACGCAGCTTCGGCCTGCCAGTGGGAAAGCGCAGGCCCAGCGGCTGCTGCAGCCTCCACGCCGGTGCAATGCCACCTCCTAGCATCACTGTCCGGCAGAGCCATGGACAACGTAGGGCGCACGTGCAACCGGAGTCCATACTGGCACTGTAGCCTTGCAGTACTGGGGTTAGTAACCCTTTGGCCAGCGGCATGCACCGAGGCGTCTTCGGCAGGGCCGTGTCGCTTTGCTTTGTGCTCGCAGCGCAGTCTGCCAGATATCCTCGAGCAGGCCTTGCTAGAGGTATACAATCAAGAGGTAAGTCATCTCTTGTGGGTTTGAGCAGTGCCACCCGCGTCGGTGCGGAGGACGTCAGTGACAATCACTCCGATCTCGCCGTTGACTGAGCTCTGGGAGGCCTCGGTGGGGTCTGTTGTCCGCCGTGTCTGCCTCACAGTGCAGGCAGGTAGTTTAAGGCCTAAAGTGCTCGTAAATGGTGTGCCTTTTGGTGTGAGGACCCGGTGCGAGTCCCTAAGGGCCCCTGCGAGCTGCTAAGGGCCCCCTGCCCGCCTCTTTTCTGTGGGCTCGCATTAGTAATGACGAGCTTCTGTGTTGCCTTAAGGCAGTGCCGTGCAGTGCACGCACAAGGCCCCGGAGCCCGAGCCCTTAATGCTAAGTTTGCATTGGCACCTTGGCCAAAGCTTGGCGTCGCTGGTATCCATTCGCTTCGTCAGTGACGCTAGCACGGACTCGGCAGTGCCGCTTGTCCCTCGATTCCTCCAGTGTGCTCAAGTGGATGTTCGTGAGGATGTCAGCATTAGGGGATAAGTTATCTCCTTTTTCGCAGTCATAAATATGCTGGATGTCAGCTGGGGGGCAGTGTCCCGAGGCTTGAGGCCGCCCTGCAGGCTTCTTTGTTTTCAGTAAACTGTGTTGTGAATGCTCCATGCCGTCAAGTTTTGGCGCGGACTGCTCCCGCAGGTCCTTCAGTGCACCTTCGGCAGGCAGCAGTGCTGGCGATGCCTCACTTCCTAAACCCCGGGGCAGTGCCTCGAGGAGTAGGGCCTTCCGCTTGATTCTTAGTGGTTAGTGCACTGTCTGCCAATGCTTGGTGTGGGTCCATGCTTTCGTGCGGAGTCCGCAATAAGCTCTGAACCTCTGCTTTTGTTTTCCCCCAAGGCAGCCGTGCGTGTAGCAGTGCTACAGGCAGGGAGGCGGCAGTTTTGCCTGCGCATCCTACACCTCAGGGCAGTGCACCGTGCTTCTTGCTGTTTAGTAAACAGTTTGTCAATGCTTGGTGTCCGTCAGGATCTTGTTGTTAACTCCGCGCTAGGCCCTGCGACCGCTGCTGTTGCAGGGTCGGCCCCCAAAGCATGTTGTTCGCAGCGCAGTGCTGCAGGCACGCATGCAGCGGTGCTGCTAATGCCTCGCCTCATACGCCTGAAAAAAGTGCCCTGAGGTTTGAGGTCTTCAGACTTTCGAGTGTAGGGTGGTTTGTAGCCGTGTTACGTGTCAGCATGCAGCAGCGCTGCTAATGTCTGGCATACTTATCCTCAGGGCAGTGCCTTGCCCAAGCAGGAAGTGTTTTTGCATGCTTCCTACTGCTTGGTCCACAATGCTGCGACGCTTCGTCCCAGTTGCGATTTTGGTGCGAAGTTCCCGCAAAGCCCTGTGGATGTACAGTGCTACAGGCAAACAGGTCGCAGTGCTGCCGTTGCCTCTATCCTAAACCTCAGGGCAGTGCCTCGAGGCTTGGAATGTTCACGCGGCTCCCTGCTGTTTCGTGAGCAGTGTGACAACGATGTTGCCGGCCTTGGTTTTGGCGCGGCGTTCGGTTTGGTAAACAGTTCTGGCAATGCTTCGTCCCGGTCGGGATTTTGGTGCGAAGTTCGCGCCAACCCTGCGTATCGCGCCAACCCTGCGTATGCAGCCGTGCTACAGGCCAGCAGCAAACAGGCATGTGATGCGGTTTCTTTTCGTTTCGCA